TCTATCCTTGTACCAAATATACTGACTTAATTACTGTAACTTTATGACAAATCTTGATATCTAGTAGCACATTTCCTCCAAATTTATTCTTATTCAAAAATGTCTTGCGTTTGTGACAACATGGATTAACCTGGAGGACATGAAGCCAAGTAAAATATGCTAGACACAGAAAAAGAAATACTGTGTGAAGTCACTCAATGCAAAGTCTAAAAAAGTTGCTCTTGCAAGAGTAAGAACAGAATGGTGGTACCAGGGCCTGGGTGGCTGGGGGAGGGGGTGCTCCCTGGAGTTGGGGAGATGCTGGTCAAAGGATACAAATTTTCAGTTAGGAAGAATGTGTTTAAGAGATCTATTATACACAATGGTGACTGTAGTTAATTCTATTCTTGAAAAAATTTTAATTAAAAAATAAAAACTGTTTAAAACCGCCAAACCCAAAGCTGTCTTAGCCCTTCCTAACTTTTTGATTTATTTAGTCTAATCCTCACAAAAACCCCAATGAGGTGAGGTATCTGGGGTTCTTTGATTTCTTGTTTTCAAGGTTTTTTTGGGATCAAGCCCAGAGCCTCATACACGCAAGGCAAGAGCTCCACTACTGAGCCTGAACCTCAGCCTGAGCCCCAGCCCTACCCCCTGGTGAGGTAGTTCTGATTTTTATCTCCATTTCAGGGATTGGAAAACTGAGAAGTAATTTTCCCATGGTCATCTGGAGCTATCAAGTGTTAGGAAGGGAACAGAGGTCAAATTGGTCTAATTCTAGAAATAACTACTTAAGCTCTTCATGTCTGACTCCTGAACACAACAGCCAAGGCATTTAGCATGAAGGTATACAATTAAAAACATTCAGTGGGCTGGGGTGGTGGCTCAGTGGTAGTGAGCTTGCCTAGCACACGTGAGGCACTGGGTTTGACCCTCAGCACCACATAAAAAATAAATCAAGTTATAAAAGATGCTTAAAAAAAACTGAGTGCTCTAAGTTACTGATTTCCAGTTAAAAATCTTATTTGGCAATCACAAAAGGCTGCTTTTCTGGTAAGACTCTGGAAAACAAAGAGACAAGAGGCCAAAGCTGCTTGGATTCCTTCCATAGCCCCTGTCTTGAGAGGGAGAGTCACACTCCTCACCTGGACACATGGGGTCCCTGGGGCTGGCTGCTTTCCCCATCTTCTGCTTTAACTCTGCTGAACCCGTCTTGCTTCTGGACTCTCAGGCCACGTGCACAGCCTTACCTTTCCCCCCTGAGCACGGCCTTTCACACAGCTGCCCTGTGCTCGGATGTCCTCCCCATTCCTGGCCACTTTCTCCTCTCCTTTAGTATGCTTTTTCTGGGTACATGTGCTTGGGAGGCCCTCCAGGGCCACCTGGGTTGGGCACTCCTTCCCCACTGTGTTTTATTCCCACATGTCACATTGTCCTGGAGTTCAGTTACCTGTCTTTCCAATACTTTCCTAGACTATGAGACAACTGAGTGTTGGAAGGGGCTGATGGGGGCTGGGGTGTGTGCACCATCACTGTGCTCTGCTGCCTGAATGCTGGTTAACAGGTTTTTTTTTTTTCTCCTAAGAGGAGTCCTGAGAAAAATGATTTTGTTTCTGGTGCTGGGCTTTGAATCCAGAACCTTGTGCATGCTAAGCATGTGTTCTACCAGAGCTATACTTATACTCCCAGTAAGAACAATGACTTTCAGTAGATCCAGGGCATATTCTTTGGTAGAGATAGTGCGTAGGGAAGACGCATCTATGGGTACACCTTCTCTGATGGACTTAAGCACCCAACTGAGACAAAGAAGGACTGAGTGAGTGACAGAAAAGCCAGTCAATGGCTATGTATGGTTTGGCAGGCTGTGATCATTGTTGTTGTTGTTAAAAGCTGGTTTATTAGCAGGCTGTGGCTATTAAAAGATGTTGGGGGCTAGGGAGATGGCTCAGTTGGTAGAGTGCTTGCCTCGCATGCATAGGGCTATAGGGTTCAATCCCTAGCACCACACACACACACACACACACACACACACTCACACAAAAAGATATTGGTACTAAATCAACAATGAGACAGCCCCTTCTGAGACAGACTCATTTCATACTGAGACCTGGGTACTAGGGACACGGCTTCCCTCTCTTTCCAGTATTGAAAGTGATGTTCGTCAGCAAGCAGAGGCAGGGTATACCAGAAAGGAGGAGCACTTTCCCCATTGGGGCCTCCTCCAGCAACTGAGACTAGACTCTTCAAATGGTTGGAAGGAGCCCACCTGGAGGCCCTGACCTCTCCACAACTCTTGGGCTGCTCCCCTGCTTCCAGTCCTTGGCCAGCCTGGGGCAGTGCAGCTCAGATCTGAAGTCTTCGAGAACTTCCAGTCTGGGGGAAGCTCACTGGCTCTTTTCATGAAGAAACCAAGCTTGCTCTTCCCTAGGAGCAGCAAGTTAGCCCTCTCTCACCATCAGTGAAATGAGAAAAACTATATGGTATCTAGCCCACATTTCTCACATTTTCTCAGTTAATTCCCATTTTCTTTTTCTTTCCAGTAATAATAGTTACATTTATTATTATTATTATTATTATTTATGAACTGCAAACATGTGCCTAGTATTGGGCTATAGATTTTTTTTTATTAGCTACACATGACATTACAATGATCTTGGCAATTCATACATTTGAATCATTGGGGTAAGTTAATTCCCATTTTCATGGTTACTGTGCTAGTTGAAAGGTAGACAATAGGATGAAGACAGTCTCCCCGAGAAGGGAAACCACTGTAGTCCCCCAGGTCTACAGCTTCCCTCTATGGATTCAGCTGTGCTCAGGACAAGGGCGGACTTGTCCTTCTTTTAGAAATTCAGAATCCAGGACATCACAGGGTTGTGCATGTTTAGGAAATTAGATAATATTTGGGCATGAGAAATACCCTTAATTATTTTTTTCAAAGTTTGGAAGAATTTATTGACATTTGTGCAGCTTAGGTAATTTAAAAGAATCTTTGAATAAGAAAAGCATCTGTGTCCAAGTTATGCCTATCATTAGAAATAAGTTTCCAGAAAACAAATGTCAGAGGACAGACATTCATGCTAAAAGCTAGATGCTTTCTGACCCAAGTTTATGAACCCTCTCCTAAAAAGAATTGCTACATGGGTTATTATTATGAGTGAATGATTCATTTTCTGCCCAGATATAAAAACTAATTCCTAAATTTTCCTGTTTGGATGAGTGAAGCAGCAACTGGGAAGAATAAACAAAAGCTGCCTGGAATTTGGAGCTCCTGGGTCCTTTACTGTGCTGTTTCCACTGTGCTGCGGCAGAGCAGTCACAGGTGGGAGGGCCGTGTGGGACGCTGCATATGATTGCACAGTACATGGTACTTCTGAGGTGTGCGGTTGTATAGTGTCATCTGACGGCCAGGCGAGTGCCTCCAAGACCTCCACCTTAGCAGACCTTGCAGAATGCTAATCAACAGGGCAGACTTCTCTTTAGTGAAATGAACTCCACAGAGCTAATGAAGGCTGTCATGACCAGCTGGACTAGACCTTTGCAAAAGGAACCAGGGACCACAAATAGTGCCGACTCTGAACATCTTGGAGCAGAATGATGACAAGCTTGCTGTAGGGTGCTAGCAACATCCTTATCCCCAAGGGGATAAAAAAAGATGAGGAATGTAGGTCTACCTGAGCCCCTCCCTACTACTTTTCAATTTAGAAACAAAGAGTTGTTTGGTTACTCCAGCTGTCCAAACAGGAATCTCTCTCCAGGGAGCTGGAAGCCCTGACTGGAAAAGAGCTCTGGGGGATCACAGCAGAGAAGAGCTGGGGCCTCAGGCTGGAGTGGGGAGGACCCATGCTGAGTATCAGCTGTCAAGCAACTGCCTCAGTGGCTTGCTCTCCAACATGGAAACAGAAAGAGCAACTGTTTGTTCCAAAGACAGCCACTGTCCTAAGGACATTTGTATGTAGTTTCAGTCAAAAGCTTCTTTTTAAGAATGTCTGCTAAAATTTCATGATTTTCCTTTTGTCTTCAAAAGAGCAGTGTCCTTCAAATATAGTGTATAAAATATTACATATCACAGTTTTTCATATATCAACAGAAAATTAATTTCAAATTACAAACACTACTGCATAGAAAAAGAGAAATGAGGTTTTTGATAAGAACTTAGTAAGTGATGGGGAGTATTTTCTCTATTCTTTGATACATGTTCCAAGTTTTGAACCATGGGCTGAGGGGAGGCCTGTTCTGCTCTGCCTGGAGACTGACAGCGTGGGTGATCAATCCAGAACCACACCTGGCACGGCCGAGTCTTCATTGCTGCTGTGATCTTCTAACACCTCCTTACAAAACCGTCAAGCGTGACAAGCCAGTATTAACTGGCCTGTTCTTTGTTGAAAGAGAAAGACAACTAACTGCACACCCCATGGATACAAACTACAGTCTTTCTTGCTTCTTAAGAGATTTACTCTGTCCTCCTATTTCTAGATCTTTCTGAGTTGGAGATTTTAAAACCTGAGACAGTGCTAAAGCCAGGTTGAATAAGGATTGTGGAGAACACTGAATGACGATCAGAGAAAGGGCCATCCAGCCTAGTTGACAGCATACTCCGCAGGATGCTGAACTTCATTAGAAGCTCATGTAAACAGCGTGGATTATAGTAACAGGCTCCCTGGGTGAGTGGAGTTTCATTCCCAATTCTCTCTCCTACCTCGCCTCACCCCATGGTTACATAACCTTTAGAACGGAATTTGGAAATCCCTCTGACCCTGCCTGCCTGCTGACAGAGCCGAGCCAGTGGCTGGCAGGGGCATAATCTAACAGGCAAAACTGGAAACACAAATTCACAGTCCTCCGTCTCAGCCCAGAGACTGCAGGCAAGGAAAGACAGACTCGCCCAGTCTCCCTCCTCCCTTCCTCTGGCCTAAGTTTGCGCTGACTTCACCGGACAGGCACCTGACCCTCCCAGAGGAGGTGGGAGGGGCTATGGCACTGTGCAGGGCCACCGTGGGGGTGGAGGTGCAGGCACAAACAATATTTAAGATGCTGACTTGGTGGAGCATTCACGCTTGGGAAGGCAAGCCACCAGTGTCCAGTACACTCCACTTTCAGCAACTCAAGCTTTGACAAAGGCTATGGGAGGGCAAGGAAAGAAAGGGGACAACGAAGTGTGAGGCCATCCAGAGTGAGCGTGTAAGGCGTGAGCTGCTCCTCAGGCCTCCACTGGGCCAATCCAAAGTTCCCCAAAGGCAAAGCCTTCTTTACCAGGCCCACGAAAGATGCTGAGCAAGACTCATGCAGCTGGGACCTGGCTCTGCATTTTCATTGTGGCCTTTGCCAGCCACCCAGTACAGCTGCAGAAGCCCCCTAAACATAAGATGCCAGCAGAGCTCAAAGCGGCCTCCTGCTGTAAGGAGGTGAAGGAGCTCAAGGCCCAGGTCGCCAACCTAAGCAGTATGCTGAGCGAACTAGGCAAGAAGCAGGAGAGTGACTGGGTCAGCGTGGTCATGCAGGTAATGGAGCTGGAGAGCAGCAGTAAGCGCATGGAGTCAAGGCTCACAGATGCCGAGAGCAAGTTCTCTGAGATGAACAGCCAGATCGACATCATGCAGCTCCAGGCGGCACAGACTGTCACCCAGACCTCAGCAGGTAAGGAGGTCACACCTCCCCTCAGAGGGGATCCTGGTCCACAGCAGTGCTTCTAGACAAACTGCTCATCAGGGCAATTCCTGGGGCTCTTTTGGGATATACTTTCCCTTGAGGAAAGATTAATGAAGCAGCTCTTTTGGTTTCTGCTGTTCTAAAAATGTACCCAGTGCCTTCCCAGGTCTCCGAATCTCTCAATTCAGCATATTATGAATGCATGAATTCCCACCTTGGAGCACTGGGCGATTCCACGGTTTGCCCAAAGTGACACAGCAAGTCTTAGAAGAAGGGTTGTCATCTTTCTGATTGGGATAGCTATGCCACTTCCTTCTCAAGAGCTGTTGACTACACCCAAATCCCAAGGAAGCAGGAACATCTGTTGCTCTGGATGTAAAGTTTTGTCAAAACCAGTTCTCTGGTGTCCTTAAGATTTAGCAGGAATGGACCTAATGGAATTGTGTGTCCTCTTTCTGCAAACCCACTCCTCTCACTGACTCAGAACTCAGTGTAGAGATTCCACCTGGCCTGTGAAGAAGCCCTTTGTGCTCAGAAGGAACAGGCTCCTCAATTCTGATGTTTCCATTTCCCTCCATGGTCTCAAAATTCTCCCAAATAACATATGACATAAGTAAGTGCAATGTTGAATATGGATTTTAATGGCTAAAAATAAGGCACATTTAATGTTTTATTCTGCAAAACAACTTTCAGTGGCTGCTTAGCTTGGCACATATGGGCCATCATGAATTTACTGTTTAAGAGATACATTTGGTTTTCTGAAATTACCAGGGAAATATTAGTTGAAAGGAACACATCCTATAGACAATGTAATTTTAACTAATATAAAAACTATTGGTTATATTATAATCCAAACTGAGAACAAAGACATGATTAGCTTCTAATGAGTAAGTCATTGGTTACCCTTGGTTTAAATGATGGAAAAGTTCTAAACACGAATTTAAGCTTGAAAATCCTGTTATCTAAACCCACATGTACCAATCACTTCCTTAGCATGGAATTCCTGACCTTTGGCTTGGGATTAAAAAGGATTCTCAGCCATTTTGCAGACAAGTGAGTCCTGATTTGATCTGAGAAAAGAAACTGATGTGTGGAAGGTCAGGCTGGACAGGAGTCTGATGGAGCCGCTTTCTGCTCCTCCGAACCAGGAACTCTCACCACCCAGCAAGAGGACTCCTGGAAGTGAACTGTGGCCCGACTGCCCAGCCTCCCACTGGTCTTGCCCAGGACACCAGTCCTTCCTTTTTCTTGTCTGGCACCAGGTGCTGAGCCACTACCATACTCCAGAAGTTGGCAGCCCCTGGAGCGAGTAGCAAGTTCAGACTTTGACTAGCAACAGGAAATGCAGAACTCTGAGGGTGATGGCAGGGTGCTCTGGGAGGAAACTGAGGCACTTCAGACAGCTCTCATGGTGGCAGTGTGGCCATCAGTGTTACCTTGTGCTCTAAGATCCCAGCCCGAGAAAACAATTCTCAAGATATCCTAGACAATGAAAGCTCTTTGCGCTTTGCTCTCTGAATCCTACCAGAAAGGCTTTTTCTTCCTGATGCTCTTTGATATTAGAACAGGAGAGAGAGCCTGGTGCAAGGCCACAGCCCCAAGGGCAGCCAGCAAGCATTTAAATCAACCCCAGAGGGAAAAGAAAATCTCATTTCCTTCTTTTTAACAAAACTTTCAGGGGAAGGCCTCAAGACATTCCTCGGGGTTGGCTTTCCTTTGAGGATCTAGCATTATTAGGTGGGAGGGGTGAGTTATGATATCTACCTCCCTTGAGCAGGATCCCAGCTGGCAGTAGCCACTACCTCTGAGAAACACTAAAAACAAACAGAGGAGCACCATGGAAGCAGACCCTCTGAGACACTCCTGACTTCCCATGTCATAGAGGTGTAGCCCAAGAGCCTGGAGCTACTCACAGGGGCATCGGGCACATGCCTTCACACATGGCACCATTCCTAAACTTCATAGCCTAAACTACAGCAGGATAAATAACTTACTTCAGACAACCTGAAACCACCTATTTGTCCCGGTGACGTGATCCTGGTGAAGGGCTTTCCCACCCTCTACCCCACCAGTGAGGTCAAAACACATCCCCTCTTAATCTCCTGATGCCAGCTCTCCAAATCCAGATACTGCCTGGGCATTGACACCCGTGGGCATCCTGTGGTAGAAACAAAGCCTCTGTCTTTAACCGCTCAGTTTCATGTGACAGGCAGCCCTGCCTGCCATGCTGTTGAGCCTCTGCTTAGCCCACGTGTGCTCTGTTTGCAGATGCCATCTACGACTGCTCCTCCCTCTACCAGAAGAACTACCACATCTCTGGGGTATACAAGCTTCCTCCCAATGACTTCCTGGGCAGCCCTGAGATGGAGGTGAGATCATTGCGGCACACTGTTCTCCAATATCAAAGGCACAGAGACAACAGGGATGGTCATGGTCCATTGAAAGGGAGCCTCAGAGAAGCAGACATACCAATCACCAGAGAGCTATGCAAAGCTCACCTTCTGGGTCTGTCCCTGGCCCCTTCAAATAATCACTGGCCAAACACCAAACCTTCTAACATAATTTTTATAGCCACCAAATACTAGTTCAAATCTCTGCCATGTCCTAAAGCAGTTACTTTTTGGAAGGAGAAAGAACATGAAGGGGACATATTATAAGCTGTACACACACTCACCCCCATCCCTGATTTGGACAATTCTTTCTAAGCAAACTACCACCCAGCTCCAGCTTCCCAGCACTGGGGACAGCACCGCTAACACAGGGAGCCAGTGTGACCATGGGAGTACATTCATTGCTAGTTCTGTAGGGACAGGAAAGAAGGTGGGCAGTCTGCACTTTCTGATTAGCTTCTAATGAATAAGTCATTGGTTACCCTTGAACATCCTTTTTGTTCCAGGTGTTCTGTGACATGAAGACTTCAGGTGGGGGTTGGACCATCATTCAGAGACGAAAGAGTGGCCTTGTCTCCTTCTACCAGGACTGGAAGCAGTACAAGCAGGGTTTTGGCAGCATCCGTGGGGACTTCTGGCTGGGGAATGAAAATATCCACCGGCTCACCAGACAGCCAACACGGCTCCGTGTGGAGATGGAGGTGAACTCCAGGCCTGGGGCCCTGGAGCTGGTCCAGGACCTCTAACACTACTGTGCATGACTCCTTGTCTGTTCAGTTGAGATCATACATTCACTAAGATAGTTTTCTGCAGGGTGTAGTTCAGTTGAAGAGAAAAATTTTTGCCCCTTTCTCAGCAAACCAGGCCTGTGAGTAGCACAGGATGAAGCTGAGGCAGGCTAGGACAGAGCAAAGCTGTTGGCTGGGCAAAACACCATTGTCTCTGCTCAGGCCTGGGGCACGAGGTCCTTAGAGATACTGGTTGGTGGCCCTCTAGAAGGCCTTAAAGCATCACCACATCCTCGTGTTGCTCTTATTACATCTGAGTGGGATTCAGCAAAAGTACAGATCTATCCCTTCAACCAGGAACATGAAACCTTTTGTCAAGGCCTACGGTGAATCCAGAGAGTAGTCGGACCAGCACCTCGCTTGCTGATTCCCAGCTAGTGTGCTAAGCAGGAGGAAGCAAGTGGCAGGTCTTGCTAGATTCACATCTAGAAAAAGATGTTTGGCTGTAGGGCTGGAGCGAGAGGAGCAGTACAGGGAGGGTATGACAACAGCGCTCTGCAGTCCCCTAAGGCTCTGATTTTCCCCACAGGACTGGGAGGGCAACGTGCGCTATGCCGAGTATAGCCACTTTGTTCTGAGCAATGAACTCAACAGCTACCGCCTCTTCCTGGGGAACTACAGTGGCAACGTGGGCAACGATGCACTCCTCTACCACAACAACACAGCATTCAGCACCAAGGACAAGGACAATGACAACTGCTTGGACAAGTGTGCCCTGCTCCGCAAAGGTGAGGGGGGCAGGTGGGAAGGACAACCCACCTGCGGATGTTGCAGCTGTGCAGCTGGAACTTGGGCTCTGGAGTCCCTTCTGCTCTGCCCTGTCCACCTCAAGGGGAAGGCACACCCAGCTGACCAGCCCCATCTGTTTCTTGTGCCAGGTGGATACTGGTATAACTGCTGCACGGACTCCAACCTCAATGGGGTTTACTACCGCCTGGGGGAGCACAAGGAGCACTTGGATGGCATCACCTGGTATGGCTGGCATGGGGCCAGCTACTCCCTCAAACGGGTGGAGATGAAAATCCGCCCGGAGGGCTTCAAACCCTGAAAGGAAGCTGCTGTGGAGCCGGACTGCAGAAAGACGCAAGCGGAGACTGGGAAGGGCAGAGCCAGCAGGAAGAGGGTATCAAAGGGCAGGGGAGGGAGTGGCCTGTAATCCCCAGGTGAGACAAAGGCTCTTAGAGGTGGACAGCAGAATTTTGGTTCATGTGCTGCTGAAGCGGGCACATGCACCTGATGAAATTACATGTACCGAGGATGTTACAGTACATGGGATGAAGGGTTTAAAAGCAATGGGTCCTGCCACATCCTCCTCAGGGGGAGACTGCGTGGGCTCTCTCTGCCCTGATCCCTGCAAGAAACTTACCTATGGGAAAAAGTAATCATGAGCTCACTTTTCCATTTTCTCTAAGGCATAATTCATGTGAATGCAAAACCCAAATCCCTTTGCTGAAAAGAACTGTATTATTTGATTCTCAAAGGAGGCCTTGAGTATTACAGGAAGGAGCAAGAGTGGGTACTGGAGGAGAAGAATTTCTATTTTAAAATGCAATAAAATTACCTTCAGAAGTCTACACACTTTTTAAAAATACAAAAACTGTTAGGTTAGTGATGAGTGCCCCAGGGTGGACCTGCTGGGAGAAAACTCAAGACCCTGTGCCTCATGATCAGACTCTGGGTACCTTACTGCTGACCTGAGTCAGGCACCACTGAAAGGGAGGACATGGGGTCTGGCATGACAGGGAGCACCAGCATGAGAAGGGTATAGTCCCTCATGGCCGCTTGCACAAAATCGCCTTAAAACATTCATAGTCAAGACAGATATGTCTATTTTTATTCATTCCGTAAGAAATGGGCTCCAAGAGCTTCCCTTTTTTATCTTGTTATAAGAAATGGCTGAAAATGAAGGTAGATGGCGCTATGGCCAACAATTCATGCTGTATATAAGCATCTTGCTTTGGTAAAACAAAATGTTGTAGTTTGTGTTTTAAGCATTCGAGGTTATCTTTTCCTTCTACAAATAAACATTCTTAAAACTTGAGTATTTTCTTTTAAAATCATTATTATTACCACTTAGAATATGGTAAAAAGTTCAACTTAAAAACCTCAGAGTGCTGGGCATGGTGGCGCATGCATGTAATCCGATCTACTTGGGAAGCTGAGGAAGGAGAATTGCATGTTTGAGGACAGCGTGGGCAATTAAACAAGACCTTGCCCCCCCCCCCCAAAAAAAAAAAAAAAAAAAAAACTGGGGGAAAAAAAAAGAAAGGAAAAGGGGGACCGGGGATGAAGTTTGGTAGCAGAGCACTTACCCAGCATGCACCAGGTTCTGGGTTCAATCCCTTACTACAACACGTGTGCATACCAAAGAGGGAGCACTGAGAAAGAGACTCTGAGTTTGTTTCGGAATTCAGGGAAACTAGGGAGGAGCAGGAAGCCAAAACAGAAAAGGCAAGGGACACAAAGGGCAGCAACTGACTAACCTGCACAGAGGACACCGCTTCTAATCAGCTTCCAAATATTTTGCAAACAAACACTCCTACTTAAAAATACAGAAAGGAAAATTATTTTTAACCTTAAGAGGTGTCAAGTAATGTTAACCTTTGGGAAGTCGTTTTTCCTTTCTCAAAAGAATTGTCCTCCTGAGCCAGTCAGTCAGGATAAGCTACGCCATTTCTCCTATTCAATATTTTTTCTTATACCTATAGTCCTTTGATTGTTGGGGGCCTAATTCATCTTAGAAACCAGAACCTTGGAGATTTCCAAACAAATAAAATGAGCAGAGAAGATCTACACTGGAGTAGGGCTTCCCATGAGACAGACGTTCAAATAGAAACTTTCTCAGGCGTTCAGGAGAATCTTGGGTTGCTTAAGACCATATGCTTAAAGAGAAAGAAGAGGTTTAAAGGAGTAGAGAAAGCAAGATGCCCATGGCAGGAGGCGCTAGTAATTGCCTTCCTCATCATCTATATACTCCACAACTAAAAAAACCTCTGAGGCTTGTAACCTAAGTCAACTTCTGTGGTCTCCTTTATCCTTCTGAGAAACTGTGATCACAAAGAAAGCGGCAGAGGGAAAGGGTGAGCAGTGGGTCAGATCTGCACAGAACGCCTCCTGCTGCTTCCCCAGTAGTGCAGATGCCAACAGCACCTCCTTTTCTCAGCACCTGTTCTGCTGCAGGTGATACTGAGGGTTCAGCCTAACACTGTCCCTTACCTAAGAAGGAACAGAACCACCAGGAGTCAAAAGCAAGCTCCATGTTGCCTCTGAAGGGAAAGCACTGTTGTTATGAGCAGATCCTTGAAGGTATGTGGGGAGGAGGTACACAGAACAGCACTGTGCAGAAGGCAGGGCATGTCAACCAAAGGCACGTCCTCATCATGAGCACCGGCCTGTTTTTTTGAGTTTTAATTTTGCAGATGTCTCAATCAGGAATATTTTTAAAAAGATGTTTACTCGTCAGGAGCTGGGCAGTTAGTACTCTATTCTATGTAGGACAAAGAAGAAAGGCAGCCAGCAGACCCCACCTCATGCTCTGGCTAAGCCAAGAAGAGCCCCACAGTTATGAGTATGTATTTTCCAACAATTCAAGACCCCCTTAATCCACTGCTCCCCTAAGAAGCAATTATACTTACTGATGTATGTGAGCTTTGAGGATGTGGGAGTAGTTTATATTTCTCAGTGTTAGTCTAGCTTGGGGACTACATGTGGGATTTAATTTGTCCTGGAGCAAATAGGTAAAATGATCAACAGGTAGACTGAACCAACACAAAAGAACTATATCGCCAGCAAAGCACAATTTTTCAAAACAAGTACAAAAACTAAGAAACAGCTATATAAAGATGTTTTTGTTTAGGGTTACCTGTTTCAAATAGAAATTTAGGCAGATGATTCAAATATATGTATTACAACAAACTCCAAAAGAATGAATACATTGATGAAAGGAGTATAGGGTAGGAAAAATAGAGCAGTGGGGAAGGGCAATTAACTATTATTCCCTAAATACCTGTGAAGTCTGAAATATATTGGGGGTGGCTCTAAGTTCTCTAGCAGGAATTCAGCAGTTGAAGAGTACTGGGGTAGTATGGGCAGCTTCCCTGAAAGGAGCTTTGCCTAACATCGCTCCTCAAAGTCTTCCCCAGTAAAGATGAAGCAACAATCACAATAGTGTGCAATTACAACTGCACTTGGGAAAGGCAGTTTTACAGTGTCATGATGAAAGCTGCATGCAAATGGAGACAAAACAGAAAGGTACTGGGGAGAATGGGAGACCAGCTGAAGGGAGGCAGGACTTGGAGCTGTGCTGAATCAGCTGAACTGGCCTGAGGGGATGGTAAAACTGGCTTTCCCTCAAAATAGAGTTTAAAAAATAGTCAAGGCCTGGCATTCTGGTGCATGCCTATAATCCCAGTGGCCTGGGAGGCTGAGGCAGGAGGATCTCAAGTTCAAAGCCAGACTCAGCAACTCAGTGAGGCTCTAAGCAACTCAGTGAGAGCCTGTCTCTAAATAAAATGCAAAAAAAAAAAAAAAAAAAAAAGCTGGGGATGTGGTTCAGTGGTTAAAGTTAAAGTGCCCCTGGGTTCAATCCCCAGTACCAAAAAAAAAAAAAAAAAAAAAAAAGCCAAGATCAATTTAATTTATAATGAATCTTGAGGATTTATTTTAAATTACATCAGCTTGAAAAGCTAAATGACTTTACTGAGGACGTTTAATCTGGATTAACTTTAATGCTTCTCAGCCTCAAATATGGGGAAAAACCAAGGGAGGATAAGGAGGTTTCAGGTGGGTCTCAATTATAAAAGAGTCAGTCATTAGTTATGACGCTGAAGTTAACAAACCCAGTTACTACCATATTTTCTATCAGTTCTCACATGCGATTGCATGAGCTGGAGATGGGAGGAAGAGATGCAGATCTTCACGTTTACTACCGTGCTTAATCTGACACTGAAGCATGCCTCCTGGTGGCCTGTTTGTGACTGTCTCTAAATTCTGCAATTCCACCTCTACTTTCTGGTCATGAGTAAGGTAGGGTGCTGAAAGCAACACTTTGCAGCATCTGTTCAAGGCAAAACTAGTGGAGAACTCGGCTCCTCGACTACCCGTTCAATGGACTAGGCCCATGCTTGGCCAAGTCCCTCAGTCAGTGGACAAACTAATTAGCCAATGATTTTCCCTAAATTACCTGCAGCAAAATAATGAACCATGTGAGTATTTCCATGAAGATAATTAGATCCAGAGTTGATATTCTTTGATAATCATTAAGGGAAGTGAATGGTTCTCTAGGAATTGAAGCTAATGTTTCAGACTCTTAACAATTTCATAACAGCAGAAAATTTATTCAACAACCTCTTTATTTCTATGCCCAGAAGACTCAAAACCATCATATGAGAGGAGAAAATTAAACAAATTAGGGGAAAAGACCATCAGATCTCAGACTCTGCTCTGCCTTTTATACTCACAGGATTCCCAAGAAGACCCAGGCGCCAGATTCAGTTGCCAAAACCTCCTGTGGCTGGCTTTTGAAGCCCAGGAGCCAGTACATTCTAATCCTGCCCAGAGAACGCAATCTAACCCAGACATCAAACCTATCTCTCCTAGGCTGCTGCAGTCATGGATTGCTTCTGGGCTAACCCACCACATGGAGAAACAACAGGCTGGAAAAGGACGGGCGCTCAGGTTGGAAGAGTCAACAGATGGCAATTATGACGAGACTACCAGGGAGAGCTATCTGCAAGCACACGTCACTTAAATGTGCTGGCTGCACAACAGATGCCACCCAGTGACTCCAGAGAGCAAGGGGAGCAGAGAGGTCATTATAGCCTACCTGATGAGAGACTCGAGTATGGCGGGGGTGGGACCTTTCTGGAACTCCAGTTCTTTATAGTGCAGTGCTTTGGCATATGCTCGGCACTTGGCAGCTCTCTCACCCAGAAGAACAATGCCGTTGTCATCTCTCAGTGGCAGGGGGCCCTAGAGGAGAGCAAAATCCCACAGCATAGGAAAATGGCAGATGGGCACAAACAGGAGTGGTCTGTGTGGAAGCTTCTCTCCTCCCAGCAGCTGGCTCCCTGGTCAGCCTCCACTGGACAATGGGGAAGAGTCTCACCTTGTCACTGTGCTCCATGAATTCAGCCAAGTTTAAGAGGGTTTGTGTGACTTCAGCGATGTCTTGAGAGGTAAGG